GACCTGTCCGCCCCGGGCGCCCCGGAGAAGCGGCGGAAGAAGGAGCCCCCCAAGAAGCCGGTGAGCCGGAGGAGGGGTGCAGAGCAGCTGGCGGCGGGCGGCTTCAGGGAGCGAGGGCCAGGCTGTGGACTCTGCCCACAGACCCACCTGTTGTGCTGGGGTGCGGGCGGGGTCTGTCCAGTGTGTGGTCTCACGTTGGGTTCTCTCTACCCTTCTCCAGAATGACTTTCCAACCAGGATGTCCCTGGTGGTTTGATGTTTGTTGGGGACATCTCTCTGGACGGCGAGAAATCTGAAGTGGACGATGGGGACAAGACAAATCCAGGAGCCAGTAGGCCCAGGACCTTCTCCGGCCACCACCTTGGAAGGTTTGCTGATCTTTGCTTTGGCAAGGGATGGGGGCAGCCTGAGCGAGGCGCATTCCAAACCTCAGGGCCCATCTGACTCGTGTGGGAAACATCATGGAAATGTCTGCGTGTAAGAACATCCCCACACCTGCAGCTTCTCGCCCCGTCTCCTCAGCCGAAGCAGGATTCTTTTCCAAGTCTGACGGAGTGAGCTCGGGACTGCTAATCTCCGGAAAGGCTCTGCCTGCAGCCTGCATTTCTGCGCTGAGGGAAGAATGTGTTACTGCTATTAGGCCTTCTGCTGGCAGCGGAAGATAGCTCCAGGCTAAATAGACCTTTATTCCCATCACCTCCTAGTCACTAGTCAGTGACTGTTGTTACACTAAAGTCAGAAGCCTCTAGTGAGCTCGGTGACAGTGACCTGCTGGACAGTCACAGAAATGGCTTCAATTTGCTGATCTGAATGGCAGCTCTTGAGTGGCCGGGACAGTGCGGAAGAGAGGATATACCTGTGTGAGAAGCTGTCCGAGTTACGGTATTTCTTTGTCCCTTCCGAGAACATAAGCTGCTTTTTCTCTTTCTGCTGCGCGCAGCTGAGTCTGGACCATGAGGGCTCTGTCTTCCCGCCCCTGACGTGCCACAGGCTGGGGCCACACGCAGCCGTCTCCCTCCCCGTTCCGATCCGATTAGGTTGTCATCAGGTGCCCTTGGATGAATGCTTCGAGTACACACATGAAAGAGAAGAGGGCCCCGCCGGGTGTGGCTCAGCGGTTGCGCATCGACCTAGGATCCAGGAGATCACGGTTCGATTCCCGGTCAGGGCACATGCCTGGGTTGCAGGCTCCATCACCGGTCAGGGGCGTGCAGGAGGCAGCCGATCAGTGACAACTTTCTCATCATTGACGTTTCTCTCTCCCTTTCTGAAGTCAATAAAGATATTTTAAAAAGAGAGAAAGAAGAGGGAGGGAAAGGAGAGATGCACGAATGCAGTTAACAGGAAAGAATGAATGTTCTCATTCTATTTGGAACGTGGGCCATTTCCCCCATGAGCACCACGTGATCTTCCCGGGTTTTGTACGGCATTCACCATGCGTAGTTTCTGTCCCAGAAGCGCTGCTATTCCAGGACCCTGAAGACATGACCATGCATCTTGGCCCCACCGGCGGCCACTCTGGGTGCTGTGGGAGATGAGCGATGCTGCTTTCCAGAGGAGAACTTCCCGTCGCCACCACTGCCTAAGTGATGGGCTTTGCCTCCCAAAGTTAGATTTTTTTCTGGATTTTGTAATTTGTGTAAATTGCAAAATATGGCCACTCTTTCCTTCTCACCCAGAAGTGAAGTCTGTTTCTCTACCCCTTGAATCTGGCATTGGCCAGATGATTTGATTTGGTTGGTGGCCCAATAACAAATGCGACACAAGCAGAGACAAAAATCCTTGTGCATGGGACTGTCCTCTCTTGCTGCTCTTGGGAACCTTGCAGTTACCACCAGGTGAGCGAGCCGGGCTGTCCCGCTGCATGATGGGAGGAAAGGGCCCAGTTCCCCGGTCACCCTCTCTGACAGCCTGTCAGCTCTCAGCTGAGCAGACACATGGGGGAGCCCAGCCAAGACCAACAGAAGAACCACCCAGCTGAGCTCAGCCTGCATTGCTGATTCTTACTCAAGGCATGAGGCGTTGGTGCACTCTTTAAATTGTCATTTCTCTTCCAGGAAAAACGTTTTCTTATTGCTTCACTGTTCAGCCCTGAATCCCTGACTTTAGGTGTCTCATAGTCTCCACTTTCTTTGACAGACTTTCGTCAAAGCTTTTCACCCCACGCTGTTACGGCGGGACTCATGGTTGGGTCCAATCCCTGGAGGGTGCTTGGCCTCACTGTCCCCGCCTCCCACACTGGTCCATCCTCTATCTGTGGATCCCTGGACAACCTCTGAAGACAGTTCCTTCTTCAGCATCTCCTTGCGCTTCTCCAGGGCCACGTGACTGGAGCTAGACCTTATTCTCAGAGTACCATTCCACTGGTACCCATTTGTTTCACAGTATTTCCAAAATAGTCGTACGTGTGCAATGAGATGAAGTGGCTGGGTGAGGGTCGGTGGATGAGGGCCGGTGGAGGAGAACTGGCCTACCAAGGACTCCGTGGTGGCTCTAGCCTGTCTGAGAGGAACCAGGAGGATAGTTCAGCTCAGTGCTGGCACTTCCAAGGGCTGAAAGACACGAGCCATAACTGGTGCTGAGTCTCAGACATGCTGGTGTCCTTGGCCTCTGAAAACCTAGGTCTAACCTGTCCGTTTAGGCCCCGGTTGAGATGGAAAAGATGATAAATACGTCCTTTCTTAGTCAACAGCTTTGGGCTTCAACTCACTCAGGCAATTTTGGAGAACACTGGGTGGCTGCAGGAGTTCTCCCTTCATCCTGTGCCCTGTACCAGGCTTTGTGCCACAAAAGAGCCCCTACACCAGCCACAGAGACCTCAGCACTGCTTCTGAGCCGGGCATGTCTGATTTGGGTGGAGGTGGAGGAAAATAGTGGGAAAGAACGATTAAAATTGGAAACCTGCAATTCCAAAGACGACAAAAGTACAGACAATAAAAAATACAAAGACAGTAACAGGCTCATGAAATAACCTGGGGGTGGAACCAGGCTGTCTTTTGTGGAGTGACCTAGGTCACTGAGATTTCAACCCCTCAGTCGAGAGAGAAAACAGCTGTTTCTGGGCATGTTGACAGGAGATGAGGCTGGCTGGACGAGGGAAGGCAGAGGCGGCCATCAGCACCCCACTTCTCGGGACACGCCCCTCGTTTCTTCTCTCCTGAGTTGTGTCCTCATAGGGAGGGCCTCCCATGCTGGCTTCCTCCCCAGGTTGCACTGGGGCCAACGTAAGTCTGGTGTGAGACATGGTCTTTGTTTACTGGGACCTGAGGGGATAGGACATGCCCGAGAAAGAATTGGGAGATTTTATGCATATCGTGAAATATTGCTATGGAGAAATGATGATGGACCCAGAGAATTAAAGTTTTTTTTTATTTAAATGGGTATATTTTGATATTTAGTGTTGTGTGTGTTTGTCCATCCATCTCAAAGATACGCTCAGTGATCTGAAAGCCAATGTTAAAAAAGAAAGGTGAACTGGGATAGGGAGGGGGGAGGTGGGGGGCCCGTGGGATGAGGCGTGAGTCACAGTGAGTCACAGTGCTGAAGGAGGGGCTGTGGATGCAGGTGGCAGGAGGTGTCCCCTGGTCGATGAACTGATTTTCTGGGTCATGCATAGACTCATTAGGAAGCTGGGGACGTTTGTCATGGAGCTGGCTGTGCATGTCAGCTGTCCCACCCAAGCACCATCTCAGGGAACTCTGCTGCTCTGGGGCTCTGATCTGCAGCCTCCAGCGTTGCTGGCCACCCTCAGACACTGAGAAGGTCTCACAGAGATGACGGGCCCTCGTCTCCCTTCTCCAGAGCCTCCCTCTGCACCTGGCACAGGGGGATGGGGAGGGAGGGCTGCCACTCAAGCCTGAGGCACTCCATGCTGAAAAACTTGCCTCGCTGTCAATACCACTAAACAGCCTCAAAGGCTTTGTACAGGTCGTCTGATCAGACCGCAGGCAGCCTTTGCTAGAGGCTAGAGTCACAGATATTGTTGCAATCCGGCCTTTTCTTTACCTGCAGAGGAGTAACCGTTGCTACCCTTAGTGAAGTCACATGTACTTAGGTGTCTAGACTCCGAGCCTATAGGTCTTTTCTGCTGGATCCGTGTTTCCCAAAATTGCCTGACTATACAAATGACTGATGCATTGTGGGCCATGCCTTGGAGATCGATGGGGGGAGGGGGGGTCCAGAGCTAGAATTTGCACTTGAACATGCATTTCAGGAGACTCCTGTGATCAGATACATTTGGGAAATGCTATGCTAGATGGTGGCCCTGGTGTGTCCCAAACCATTGGTACTGAAGCTTCCTTGGGCTTGGAGACTTTTTCCTCAAATGTCCTGGTGAGGGGTCTCTTACTCCCTTGGGGCTAAGAGTCTGGCTGTAACACAGGGTCTGGGGCAGAACTGAGCAGAGAGAAAGGAAAGCTCAGAGCACTCCTCAGGCCTGCTTCTACGCATTTCCAACCCCAGAACAGTGATCTGTTGTGACAATCTCAGATCTCACAACAAGAATTACAGGTAATTTGCTCATTCCCTCGATGTCATTCTGAGTAAAACTTGAAGATCGTGAACGGGAAGAAAAGAGACCATTGGGGAAATGGCAGAAATAAGTGACGTTCTGAAGTATTCAGATGATAAGCCTGCCTGGTCAACACCCACTTCCACCCGCAGATCCCACGCAGGGTGGGCGAGAACAGAGCACGCCTGTGCATCCTTCCAACTCCGGTTTCAACGCTGCCAGCATCTTACAGGAGTTTGAAAGTGATTTATAGGATGTGGGGATCCAATTTCACCAACATGGGGTCCAGCGACTTCAAGTGCCTAGTTTTTCCTGCCAGGATCCTACCTCCTACCTCCTGGAAGCTGATCACTGAAGCTCCAAGTCAGGGCCTTTGAACCTCCGAATGGAGCAAGGATACTCCTGAGCAGCTATCAGCAGCAGCCTGAGTTTTCACGCTGCCCGGGGGGTGATATGAAGGTTAATTCTGATATTCATATGATTTTCAGTGGTGTGTTACTGAGTACAGACCACTTCCACGTGCCCTGTTTGCTGGATTTGTGAGAGAGGCAGGTTCCAAGAACATAAAACAGAGGTTCCAAGAGGCTAAGCAATTTGCCTGTAATCAAATGACTTAAAAACCTAGAGCCAGGCCTAACGACTGTCTGTCTAGGGTTCTGTCCAGTTCCTGCAGTTCCAGAGGGACCGGGTCTGGCTGACCCTCTGCACAGTGGAACATGGAGAGAGGAGTCCTGAACTCGAGGCCCATGACATGTTGCAGGTGGAGTGAAGCTGTGGACCCAGGCATCCTACCGAGCGCTGTGACTGCTGATGTGACAGGATCAGCTTCGCCCAGGGCTATGGGGGGAAGGGCCTTGATAAAATGCCTCAGATTCTAGACTTCTTGAGGAGCAGTTTCTGAGCCAAAGTACAAATACAGATAGAAGCAGAATTGCGGGCTTGGGGTGGCCTGCTTCGGAGTGAACTGCCTGCCATCTCCCTGCATTTGGGGAGCTTCGCTGGAATGAAGAGGGCCAGCTACAGAGGGGGCAGTGAAGCGGTTACTTCTATATGGTTCGAGTGTGTTGGTGGGCTCGACCTACTGCTCTGGGAAGGAGAGAGACGAGCCTCTCTCACAGTGCTCTGAGGAAAGGCCGCGTATGGGTGAAGGTACTGACACCCCCCCCAGAACTGCCTGCGGGAGGAAAGAGAAACAGACACAGAGGGCTGGGGAGAGTGCTTCCCACGAGTCACCTGCCCGTTCGTTTTTGCGCCTTGTCTGTGGCATCGAAACCGAAATGTCTCTCTCTCTTGCCCAGGGTTGTTTTCTCAGTGTCAGACATACAAAGTGAATTGGGTTGTAATGTTTTAAACTTAAATAAAGCATTTGCACCTCCATTTGTTGTCAAGAACTCATATTTAACACTATGTCTAATCATGATCGGACATTCAGTGACCCCAGCAGAAAAATCATCACACGCCCCACGCTGCCTGGACTGCTTTCAGCCCTGCGACGGGGGAATCAGTAACCGCTGTGGCGCTGAGCGTAACCTAAGTTTTTACAGATCTGAAAAATTCCACAGCATCCTAATTAAGAGAATGCATCTTAAAACCGCCGTTAGCAAAAGAAGTGATAAG